CAGATGCAGGTACTGCCCAACTTGATGCACACCTTGAGCAAGCTCTTGCCGAGGAGATGAAGTCTCCTGATATTGCTCCAGATGCAGTCACTGCCCAAGTTGATGCAGACCTTGAGCAAGCTCTTGCCGAGGAGATGAAGTCTCCTGATACTGCTCCAGATGACTCTCTTTCAGAAAGGGCGAAGCCTGAGACGCAGCAACCGGATTTGTTGATCCAGTGTGTGGCATCTCCTCAGATGCGCAGGAACAAACTGGTGATCCATATAGATATCCTGAGTGATCCATATAGAACACGCCCTGCTACGTTGGGATCATCTCACAAAGTCTACTATGGTTCTGTGCACAGCAAGTCACAGCGTGATCGCTACAGATCCAGATCTCCTCGGTGGGGAACATCACACAAAGTGTACAGAGGTTTTGAGATTGTTTGAGAGTCTGAGATCAGCAAGGCAAGTCTGAGATCAGCAGAGTCTGAGATCAGCAAAGCACGTCTGAGATCAGCAAGCACAGTTGCACTTCAATGGGTAGCTCAGCAGCCCCATTTTGAGTTCCTATCGTATATGTGGTATGTACATGAGGGTTGTTTCAGCACACGATGCAAGGGGAATGCATCAATGATGTGCTGCGCAATGGGTTCACTTGTGTCTGAGGTGACAAAAAGTGCTCATCCAGAATCCAGAGTTGGGGTTAAGTGAAAACGTGATCGTGAAAGATAGAGCAAACTCAAAGATAGAGCAAAATCAAACATAGAGCAAAAGATGGAGCATTAAATCATTAGGGGTTAAGTGAAAACGCCGCCCTCAATGATGGCCCAGAGTGCTCAGTAATCTAAGCTTTTCGCGTCTTGTTTTCGCCGCCGTCGCCGTTCATGGAGTCAGCTGCGATTGCTGCATATCTGGATGGGCGAGAGTTTGAGATGCTATGTATTCTCATTTTCGTGAGTGGCATGTTCGTTGGAGGAGTTTTGACGCAGCTATGTTGCCGCCGTTCTGTGCAAGTGGTGATTGATGCAAGGAATCAGCAAGAGTCAATTGGAAAGAAGCAGACAAGAGATGTGAGTGTTGCAGTGAACGAGATGAACCTGCCAGTGTTCGCAGATTGGCTTGATATGCATGATTCCTACTATAGAACTGAAAAGGGAACAGTGATGCACCTGACACCATCCTGCAGCTATGCCAAAGGTCGTGCTTTGGCACGCTTTCATTTCTGCCAGAAGTGTTTGATGATGATGTGGCGCGAGGAGACATCTGAGATCAGCAAGCCAAGTCTGAGATCAGCTGAGTCTGAGATCAGCAAGCCAAGTCTGAGATGAGCAAGCCAAGTCTGAGATCAGCCGAGTCTGAGATCAGCAAAGCACGTCTGAGATCAGCTAGCTTCTTCTGAGATCACCGGAGTGAGATCAGCCACCGACACGGGGTGTGCACCAAACACCGCGCCAGCAAGAAAAAGATAGAACAAAAGATAGAACATTAAGTCATTAATGGGTAAGTGCAAACGCCGCCCTCAATGATGGCTGGGTTTCAGATGCTATCTAGAGACAATGTTTATGTAAGCTTTTTGTTACTCATCATTGAGGGCGGCGTTTGCACTTACCCATTAATGATTTAATGCTCCATCTTTGAGGGCGGCGTTTTCACTGCTTGCTTCCTGATTTGACTTGTTGTTTTTTAGTTTAATTGTTGGTCTGAGATCAGCTGTGTCTGA